CAACCCCTAAAGCATCTTTTATACCATTCCTTTCATCAGCAAAGTTATGCATAATCTACTGACGAGATGTTCCAACATCATGTAGAACATCATCCAAGGAATCCACCAAGAGATTCGTCATCAAAGACCTGTGGTTGGCTTTTCAGAGAAGAGAGCAAAAATAAATTGCTTCCTTCAGACCTTCTATCAACGAACTTATTCAGATGTGCCTTTATGAGTGGACTTGAGACAATCCTCGAGTATCTTTGGAAACTAATAAGTTGGTCGAGACTATCCTCCATGTATCACAACACCATAGGATACACCTTCAGAGAGAAAGCACACACAACCACCAGGAGTTTTCCACCAGATGCAGTGGAATAAATGAAAACTCCTCAACCAAGCTTCAGGCTTAACATAAGTTTGAAACTAAATCAAACCTCATAGCAGCTCACCACCATGGCTTCTCACCTGACAGCTTCAAAACAGGGTCACCACACACCCTGTCATGAATAGTCCATCCTCTACTTCAAGGGACCATTCGTACAAATATGAACTGACCAGGTTCAAACAACTTTTCAGTATAACCTCCTACTTTGCACATGATCAGAAAGTATCTTCCCAGGATCTCATCTAGAGACAGAATAGAATTCTTGCTCAGATACCAATTGAAATTATGGTATAGCAGAACCATATGTCCTATAAGATGTCAAGACATCTGGTTTGTTACAAACAGCATGATAAGGAATAAATAGTTAAAAACAGATACTGAAAAGTAACATGCACACAAAACTGTTAACCCAGTTCAGAACAACCTTCCTACTCTGAGGACATACCAAGTCAGGGACAAATCCACTAATAGTAGTATCAATTCATAGATCCTATAGGAAACATACCAGTTTACTATCTAATCCCTTAATCAATACCCTCGCTAGATTTCTATCTAAGACTCACCTAGATGTGAGGCTCTCCTCAATCCCTCATCAATCACAAACATCGATTGGACAATTCTAAGACACTTAGAAAAGCAAGAAGACACACTTCCATGATGAGAAGACTCACTTCTATGATGAGCAGGAAGACACACTTCCCTCTAAACTCAGCCAAGACTCTTGACTAAGAACACCAACTTGGAGTTGCTTAAAAGCTTCCTCCAAGAACAATACTCATGCTTACTTCACAACTTCGAGGAGAATAAAGTGACCATCTCACAACTCGAGTGGTTCACTTGCACCAACTCTCCTAGAGAGGCTACAGACTCAGTCTTAATGACTACATCTTGATAATTCACGGCCGGTCCATAATCCTAGGTTATAATGCTTCTATTTATAACCTAGTACCCAATTGGATTTGGGTTTCTAATCACATCAAATATGTTGTTACAAATCTGCAGAAAATTCTTCTACAAAATAGGCCATGAACTAAATCTTCCTAATTAATCTCCATAATTAGAAAGTTAATATTCTTTGTGATTCTTACTTGAATCTTCCAGACCTAATAAGACAGCTCCACATATGATTGCATAATATTCCAAGAATATTTTTCACTTATTAAATCATAACAGAAACATGTAATCCAGTTGTACCAGTCACGATGTCGTATCAACCTGCATAAGACATCTTTTTCGACATGTTGCTCCAGATGATGAGGCATCTCATCTCAACATATTTCTCATCAAATAGAACTTCAACCTGCTTTCTCATACAAGTTACAAATCATATTTAACATATTGTTGCTATATTAGTTTTACCAAACATAATGTCAATCCAAATAATAAAGAATTAACACTTCTCGGGAGGAAATGACTTTCCTCATACCTTATGAAAGAGTTCTTTCTGAACTTTTTTATAAGTTAGGGATAGTTAGGGATAATGTTGAAGTTGAATGGACTGAGAAGTTTGAATTTGTTGAGTAGTTTTCTTTGTTGTGTTGTTTTTTTTATTATCAATGAAATACTTATTTTTTCTATTATTGCATATTCTTGTTTATTGATAACAAAGTCTTTGAGAATTACTAATTAACAAAAAAAATATGGCATCTGAAAATGACGCTAAGTGATAAATTGTTGGAAAAAAATTTAAATGCGGCAACGGGGATTCAAAGTGAGATTCCTTATAGCTATATTACCTCAGTTCTAAAAAAATCGAGATAACAGGTTTTTTTATGGATAAAAAAGGCGATAACTTATAAGTGTGTTACCTCAGTTTTTATGACGTTGACGTAACATGTTATTTATCTTATTTAAAAACTCAAATATTACGCTCCCATGACATATCCTCTCAGTTTTTAGCATGTTGAATATGAAAGCGTCGTCATGAAAAATGTTATTCATTGTAGTGTACATAAATCAGGCATGGTATATGTGAAACCAGCATCCCCTCTGTTGTCTGCAATAGTTTAATTCCTCAAGGATTCTGGTGATCTCTTGCCTTCACCAATTGAGTACCGAGCGCTAGATGGAAGTCTTCAATATTTGAGTCTTACACACCCAAACATCGCCTTCAGCACCAACAAACTTGCACATTTCATGCAGAATCCAAGAACTATACATTGGTCTGCACTCAAAGGAGTGCTCCGCTATCTAACAGGCTCTTGTGACAAAGGAGTCTTCATCTCGACAACTTCCTCGCTTAATTTTCATGCATACTCGAATGCGGGCTGGACGGGTGACAAGGATGATTATTTTTCAACCATTGGTTACTTGTTGTGTCTTGGCAGCACTCCTAACTATTTGAGCTCCTGCAAATAACGTTTTATTGCTTGATAATCCATAGAAGCAGAGTATAAAGTCTTGGCTAACACGGCTAGTGAATTACTATGGGTCTTTTCCTTATTTACAGAACTTGGTCACGCTCCATCATCAAATCTATTTATATATTGTGACAATCTCAGTTCCATACATCTAAATGTTAATCTTATCTTCCACTCTTGAACGAAACATATAGCCTTAACTTATCACTTTGTCTGTGAAAATGTTTAATGTGGCAAGTTTCGTGTGTCTTTTGTTTCTACTGATAATCAATTTTTTAATATTTTAACAAAGTCTCTACTTCACCTTTGATTCAAGTTCTTACTGTCTAAGTTACATCTCTCTTCCAAATTATCCAACTTGCGTGAGGATATCAATAATAATTAGAATTTTTAATTCCTTTAATTATTCAAATTTGCAAATCTATTATTTACTCATTATATAGTCAAAAGTCAATAGTTTAATTAGTGGAGAATCAGTAGGAGGTTTGTTACTTTGATTCACTCCAAATTAGGTTTAATGAACTTGCATATATACATTATTGTAAACTAATAGTAATTATCATTTTCATTCACATTTTACCTCTCTATAATAACTAGTTAAGCAAGTTTTAGGTAATCAAAAAGGTTTTTCTATCCGATAAAAACTAGTTAGCAAGATGAGGGTTAACTCTAATTAAGTCAACTCTATTGGTGATTGTATGTAGAAGTATTCGTGGACGGATTTGATTCAATTTTGAATAATCTAATATTCAAATTGTTTAAAAATATATGGATTGATTAAATTGAATTGGTACATTTTTCCAATAAACCTTAAATTAGACCAAACCAATAATAATATATTGGTTTCGATGGGAATGATAAGTACATTAAAAAAAATGTGATAAATATTTTAAGAGTTAATAGTATTTAAGTTTTGATTTATTCCCTTTAAAAAAATTAATTATTTTTTATAATTTTTTCAGTACTCTCTAAGTGTGTGAAAATGAGAGATAAATAAAAAATATATGTTTTACAGGAAAATAATATTTATATCTAAGGGATAAAAAAATTAGAATTTTAACATTTCAAGAGATGTGTCATCTAAGAGATAAAAAACTTAGAATTTTAACATTTCAAGAGATGTGTTAAAAAAAATTTTAAAAAGAATAAATTAAAATTCGCCTATATTATATAGAGGTAAAAGACTACTAACCCATATTTTAAATATAGTAATTATGTGTTAAATAATTCTTTATACTATTATGACTTTTTTTCATAACTAAACTAACAATTTTTATAGTATATTCAAAAGGGTAATGTTAATGTGTATTTTAAGGATATAAATTAAGAGTTCAATGTAAAAAAAAATGGAAATTATATATTAAATTTATTAAAATTAATAATTATTTTTTATTACTTTATTTAACACAAACTTTTTAACATGTGTCATTAGGGCCTTAAATGTAAAAAAATAAATAAATAAAAAACTTGAAAATTCTGCATTAAATTATTAAAATTAATAATTAATTTTTTAATTGTTTTTTTCAACACAAGTTTTTTATATCTGCGTTTATTAGACTAGAGAAATAAAAGGTTAGCGTGCCTATGTCTCGAATAGAATTAGTAGAGAGCCTATGGAATAACAACAACAAAAATTGCATCTGTACTAAAGTAACAAAAATCACACTACAATGTTATAAAATACTTTGTTTTAATGAATCAAATGTTTAAATAGCAACAAAAAAAAACAGTACATATTTTTGGTGTCTAAAGAGCATTTGTTTAAGGTACAAATTTTAGAAGTAAAAAAAGCATTAAATAAAAGGAAGTACTTGATTTGTTTTTCTTTTTGTGCAGTCCAAAACAAAGACCAAAAACAAAAAAGTATTAACATACGATTCATTGTCGAAACATGTACACATAAACAACAAACACACTCAAAGCTCAAAAAGCATATACCAGAACACTCTGATTGATGTATATAATATATAAAAGTATAAACTGCACATGCTTGAGAAAAAGCTCCTTATATGCTAGAAGAGGACAAGAAATAATGAGATCACCCAAAAAACACTTCTCCAAATTCCCAAATGATTCACAACACAAATACAAGAGAGAGAGAAACATGAACCTTATTTTCTTTAATTCCAATGATTCTATCCAAACTCTAAAATAATCTTAACATACCAAAATAGGGTCAAAGGGATGTAAAAAAAAATGAAAAATAAGATTAATGGGCTTTGCCTGTGTACATTGAGAAATCCAACTTAAAATAACTTAGTGAGTGTGGATCAAGCAACCACATTGCTCTCCTCAAAGTCTTCAATCACCAGACTCTTGCGTTTGCACCAACACGAGTACTTACCGATTGGCCCGTCATTTCCAATAACCCAATCATGCTCAGCAACTTCAGTCAAAGTCATCCTTTGTTCTGGGTCTGCACAACACAACATTCAATTAACAACACTCACGTCACGATTGCAAACCGACCAAAACGCCGCACATTTAGTTATTAACGGAAGAAGTTGAAAGTCACGTGTGTACCTTTGCAAAGCAATCCTTCTATTAAGTTCTTTAACTGCGGGTTTATGTCATCCGGAATTTCTATGGGATTATGGACTATCTGGAAAAGTAAGAAAACACCAAATTTAGATTTCTTTAGTATAAACTGAAAATATATAACATTAGGTTCATGTAATAATATTAAGAGGATGAGAAGTTTATATAAATATTACTCTGTCGTATGTATCTTGAAGTGTGTCTCCGAGAAATGGGTATTCGCCCAGTATCATACAGTACAAAGTTACTCCTACTGCCCATGTGTCAGAAGCTTTGCCGTGATAAGTAAGACCTAAATAACATCAACAAACAAAACTGATATGAGAATACTTGCTTTTATAAATTCCACAAGCAAAGTATCTTGCTATTTTCATAAAAAACGGCTAACCTAAACAGCATTCTGGTGCAGTGAAAACAGGAGTGCCAGGTGATCGACGAAGCTCATCGTTACCGTCCTGCAAAATGAATGCAAGCATATGCATCAGACTTCATACCTTTCGATCAATCATTCAGTTTCACACAAAAATTTCACTGTGGGTCCCAACACATGCTTTAACTTTCTAGTTTCATACATAAAATAATGCGATAGACTCAGTAAACTTATCGTTTTTTCTATCTGTAAAGGACCATTCAGTTCAGCATTACCTCAAAAGCCTGGCTGACACTGAAATCCCCTATTTTTACAGTCCCATTGCGGGTAATCAACAGATTATCAGGTTTTATATCCCCGTGCACTATATTCTGCATTTCAAAACATGATAAAATGAATGAGTGCAACCACCAACAAATAAATGATATGATGAATAACATTAACACACATAAATAATTGGTTGAGAGATAATACATGAGCATGAAGATAAGTTAATCCCGAGACTATATCACGCATGTATTTCTTAGCAGTCTCTTCACCAATGGCACATTGACGACCTGAACCCTCGCAAACCCATTTGCCTTCCACGTATTCAAGTACTGTACAAATAAAGGTTAGCAATTAGGCACAGAACAGAACTTAAAATAGATTCTTATTCAAACTTGAGGATCAAACATATAAGTAGAAACTTTGGCAGTGAAACCAATAATTAAAAAGAAAAACCAATAAGAAACTAATTATGAGTACCCATGTAGAAGTCATCCGACTCCGGGTCATCAATCACCTCGATGAGATTAACGATATTAGGATGTTCCAACATTTTCATGATGAGTACCTGAAAATAAAGCAAGCATGCCTTTTAAACTACAAGATGGATACTAAACAATGTCTAAAACTATCAAGTTAACAGAAGTTATAAATCATAAGATCCACAAAACAGGAAACAGCTAAATTGGAAAATAAAGTGTTGGCAAAAGTTAATCATGATTGAAGATGGGGGAAACCTCCATTGGTGATCAAAAGAAAGATACTAGAAGAAATATACCTCACGTAGTACATCTGTCATGGCAGTCTCAGATGGAGCCACTCGAAGCTTTCGCAAGTGAGACTTATGAAAGGACTGCAGTTCAAAAGATATAACTTCAATAAATCAACTACAATGCTCTTATCTTGATAACAGTACAGACATGCATTTTGCAGTAAGCCTATGTTAAAATGGTTTGCATGTGAACACTAAAGATGTCCTTACCTTAATTGCATAATGTCGTCCATCAATACTACTTTGGTAAAGAGCCTGCAATGAATACCAAGGAAGGGGCTCAGAAAAGTAAGCTCGTTGAGAAAAGGGAAAGTGTAATTCCGCAAACACTTACCACTTTGGCATAGCTACCAGAACCAATCTTATACTCTCGAATATATTCATTTAACATCTTGTTCCCGTCTTCATCCTAAAAGAGAGACATAATTTAATGAAAGGTCAAGAAAGAAAAGATATCCAATACAATAGAGAAGTTTTGTCTCAATACAAATAACCATGCGACTCAACGGAAAGATTAACAAACATGATAAAAAAAAAACTTTTGAAATTTACAAGTGAAGAAACATGAAAAAAGAAGCCATGACTACAAAGAAAGCAATAAGCCAAAAACTTTTCAAAGACCAACCTTAACATGAAGTTAAGTTATCAAAATTGATAAAAATACTGTCAATTCTTTTTTCAAAATTATAAATCAAAAAAATTTTAACACAATTCGGCTCAGGCTCGAGAAACCTAAGAGTAATCAAAACACAAAGAGTGAAGATTTCACCGATATTGTTCAAAGAACATTCATATATCCATACAAGTCAACCTAGTCTAGATGTTCCATGGCCACAAAAAATTGAAAGAACCTTTAAGGTAAAAACAGAGAAGAAACCCCAACAATTACCTCAGATCGAACAAGCTTGTCAGTCTCCTTAGCAGGAAAAGGCCTACAAATCATGCCATTCTCCGCTCTAAAGTTCAAAATATCCTCCGAACGGTTGGGTAAATTTTGCACATCACTATCGTCTCCACTAGTATTGTTACTAGTATAATCTCCACTATGTGATACCTCATCACACTCCGTTTCTCCATCCGTCAACAGCCCCTGAGAGAGATAATTCTTTATGCTCCGCCTAGTCCGTCTGCGTCTAGGTTGTTTCTTTATCAACCCGAAGCAACTCCAGCAGCCAATCATTTTAGTAAATGAAAAACTCCTATAATCCGCCATTACAGCATCAATCAATCTAACTCACCCGAAACGCCCAAAGCAAATATCCTCCTAACAACTAACTTTTCAGATGACCCTGCAAAACATAAATCCCCCATCAAAAGTTTTCAATGTGATTTATCATAATTATACACAAAGTATGATTGATGAATGATGATTACCTTATATTCGAGTAAGGGAAGGGCTTCAAGCCCAATTGAACTTGGCTATTCTAAGGGATGCCATTCAGCTAGGTGGAGAAAACCGCTAGAGAAATCAAAACAACTATGATTGACACCCAGCATTGTGATAACTCCAGTTTCTAACAATGGTTGCAGGCACAGCCCACAACTCACCACCAATAATTCGTTGACCTTTTACTATGAAAAGGAACAGAAAGAAAAAAATTATAAAAATATTCAACAAATAAAACATAGATTAAGAAAAGTCACACATTATTATTGAATAATAACAACAATAAAAGCGACAAAATTTGTTAATTATATACATTCATACGCCATCAGAGAGAAACAGGATATCATAAGATAATAAAAATGCATAAAAATTACATTTTTATTTTCTGCTGATCGGATTCTGGTAGAAAAAGACAAAATTTCGACCCAGAAGCTCCAAAAGCCTGAAATTCCAGCAACAATTGATGGATGGCCTTTGGAGTGAATCGCGGAACCCTAATTTGAAAATTCAATCGGAAAGAGAGGTGAAATTATACCCTAGAAAGGAATCAGAGGTAATGAAAGGGAATTGAAGAACGGTTTATTGGAATTGGAATTGTGAAATGGTGATGAGAAAACGGTGGAAACAGAGAAACCCTATGTGGAAGAAACGAAATTGGGATGAGAAAAATGGGTTAAATACAATGAAATATGCAATAACAATTTTAAATTAATTTTTTTTATTTGTATTAGTATATACACTTATTATTATTATTATTATTATTATTATTATTATTATTATTATTATTATTTGTTTAATACTATAATAAATCCGTGCATTCGCGAGGGTTCTAATACGGGACATATATTTATTTTAAATATATGTTTTTTAATAGAAAAATATTTGATTATCTGTCGAAAAATTATAATTGAATGATAAAAAAAAATATTTTAATTTATAACTTTATATTCCTATTAATAATCGATATTTTAATCAACAACTTAATGTTCCTGCACAAATATTAGTATTGAAGTGGAATTATCATCATTTTAATTTTAAATTTTAAAAAAATAAAAAATATTTAAATTTAATTATAAAAAGAAAAAATAAAAAAATATAAGTTAATTAAAGATAAATATTTAAATGAGAGACATATTTTTAAAATAAAAATAAAATTGTATCAATTTTCTAATTTTTAAAAGAAAGACATCAATAATATATATTTTAATTATTCATATATTATCTTAAACATTATTGTATTTTAAATTTAAAATAATTTTAAAATAAAAATGTTAGATATATAAATAATTTAAAAAGAACACATTTTTCTCGTGTTTGAATTCATACATTATTTTAAATATATTTATTTTTATTTTCTTTAATTGTATAAAAAATGTAATAACTTGTGCGTTGTTACGGATTTTGGCCTGGTTACCCGTGCGTTCACGCTGTATTGGTGTGTTACTCGTGCGTTCACACGGATTTTGGCCTAGTTATCCATGATTTCACACGGTATTGATATGTAACTTGTTATAGACTAGCTCAATGATTAGAATTAGCCCAATTCGCTTCTACCCTTGGCACGACCCAACAACAGTGGTCCAGCATTCTGGTCGACCACGCCCCTGAGCACACGACCAGCGATGCCCGACGCGCACGTCTGACCCAGTTAGTCGTTGTCTCACTGTCAGTCCGATACGAGTCGAGCAGACAACCAGGAAACGCCCAGAACTCCTCTCTGCCTATAATCCGCCTTCTCCTCTAATCTAACGGCTAATTACAGGCACATTTGCCCGTTTTGACTGAGTCCTTGCAGTTACCTATTTTTGTGGACCCGAATATCTAGGCCTAAAAATAGGGACCAATGGCCAAGAGCCAAGGGTATTATATAAACCCTCACACATGTGAGGGCCAGGTATCCAATATTCATCTCTGAAACCCTAATATTTTGCTGGTATCTCTTGGCTCCCACACTTACTTGATCGTCAGAGTGCCTTGCAGGTACAACTCCGCATTCTCATCAACTTTTCTAGCCCGTCAAATATTATCCTCCGGCCATCTTGCAGGTTCTAATCAACAGATTAGAGGCGTCACCTGTGGGAAACTATCTTTCCTGTTTTATGTTCCCTGGAATTTGAAGACCAAAGATCCTCCACATTCATCAATCATGGCTGACCATGATGATCACCAACTATTTGGAAAGACTGTGCTCTCCCCGGCACGCAAGACGGACGGAAGCCAAGCACATCCTCACCTCGAGGATAACTTCGGCGCCCATGACGAACATTACTGCATCCCCAGATTCCATCGATGCTGATTGTGATAACAATCTATTCTTGGACGAACAATTTCCCAAGAACCTTGTCGAAGACCAGCCCGAGATTCTACAACTGGTCCACGTTCCACAGAATGTCGACCTAACAATAGTAGCAATGATTGTTTCCCTTAACCAAACCAACTCCCTCATCCTCCAGCAAAGCAAAAGAATGCGGGCTCTGGAGCAGAAACGGTCAAGGTATCCCCCTCAGAGATACCGGCGACATAACTCCTCTAGCATATCGCCTCCCTGAGGGGGCATCCTCTAATAAAGGAAAGGCTCGACGTTTCTTTCTGTAAGAAACATGATTGAGCATCTCCCAAGAAGGATAAAGACTCTCCGCCTTCCAAGAAGACGAATAGCACCTACAGAGAGGACCGCAACAGGTCACTATCACCCAGACTGAGGCGACGAGGGTGGAACCCCTCCACTCGACGAGATAATGACACTCAGTGAGTAAGAAACTATCAATCTCCCCCATCATCGCCAGAAGAGACCGATGACGACGATCCCCGTAGTTCATTTTCAAAAATAATTATGGAGGCACGACTCTCGGTCGGGCTCGAGAAGCAGCCCCCGTTGGGATCCTACGGCGGTATGGCCGACCCAGATGACCATATAGAAGACATCAACGCCCTACTTGATTACTGAGGCGTGAAGGGAACGCGATCAAATGCAGGTTGTTCCCGGCCACTCTAAGAAAAGGTGTCATGGAAAAAGTTTTCCCGCTGAATCTATCACTTCTTGGAACTAGCTGAGAAAGATATTTTCGAGGCACTTCACCGCCTCCCACCGACATCTGAAATCAGAGGCATTGCTATAAGAGATTATCCAGGGCCGAGTCTCTACGAGCATATATCGAGCGCTTCAATAAAGAAGTCGTACATGTCTCAATGACCGGTTCCATGAAGAATTACCTTCTTGAACGAGGGCTCAGTCTCCGCAGCGACTTCGCGAAAGTTGTGGGCATCGAAACTCCAGCCACGCTCGACTCCCTCCTTTTCAAGGCTTAAGTGTACATTCAGTGTGAGGAGAAATAAGCGGGAAACAATGCTAGGGATTCAAGGCACCGAGAAAGTGCCAAATCCTCGAGAAGCGACAAACCCTCGACATCCCGTTGGGGGGGAGAAAGCGGGAAGACGGATCCAGAGACTCCAAAGATTACAAGGGGCATGCTGGTCGATTCCACGACTGCACCCCTCTGACCAACTCGAGGGAGCATATTCTGATCGAATACGCTAACTAAGAATTCAAACAGGCTGGGTACGTTTTCCTTGCCGGTCACCCTCCAAGCCCGGAACTGACAAGAGAAAGTATTGTAGGTTCCACAAAATCCATGGTCATGACACTGACGATTGCATCCATCTCAAGGACGCGATCCAGATATTGATCTGGGACGGACACCTCAAGCAGTACAAGAAGAAGGAAGAGGGTGCCTGCGAGGAGCCTCCCGAAACCAAGAGCGTAAAAGAGGGGAAGGAGTCCCCCAACAACGACATCATACTGGTCGCCATGAGTATCATGCGACCAGAATATTTCCACTTCCCAGACATGGAAGATGTATCCCTATAATTCTCCTCACACACTCCCTGGGAGTTTTTCCCTGCTGTGATGGTCATCTTTGGCGGAGGATTTAACAAGCACATGGTGGGGTCTGTAAAGAGAAGGTTTGATCAGCTTATCGAAACCAACTCCGACATGGACGCTACCATCGACAAGTTCAGGGGAGGCTCTCATCCCCTCGCATTCTACCGAGAGGAACTGCCAGGCGAAGCTCCTAACTCAACCATCCCATTGCTCGTGCGGGCTTGCATGGCTAACTTCTATGTTCGGCACATCCTGGTCGATCAAGGAAGCTTGGTGGACATCATGTACACCCAACTGTTCACCACCCTCCAACTGAACGAAACCCACCTGACCCCATACATGGGCTTAGACTTCTAGGGTTTCAATGGGGCCAACACCAAACCCTGGGGGTATGTCAAACTTATTATCACCTTCAGGAGAGGGGTAACCTCCAGAGCCATCAAAACTCAATTTCTAGTAGTAGACTGTTCGTCTCTCTATCAATACATCTTCGGAAGGTCCACTCTAGCCGAACTAATTGCAATGCCCTCCGTCGTGCCCCTCAAGATAAAAGACTACACTGCTGAAGACTTGGTCGCCACCCTCCAAAGGGAGATCCAGGAAGCAAGGAGGTGCTTTGAACTTCGGCCAAGGGCCTGAGTTCCATCACTGCTCAGCCCCGAACAGCCACTAGATCTGCCTTTCCCTCCAGCTCCGAGGAGCTCAAGCCACTGCCAAGGGTCGACACCATCGACCTCAACAACCGTTTCTCCAAGGAAGATCACGCAGAGCGAAGGAGAAAAGGGAAGGACCTCATGGTCAAAGGGGAAAACTCATCCCCGACTGCAGACAACAAGGAACCTTCAGAATCCATGCGGCCTATTCTTGACGGGGACTTCGAAACTATCCCCCTCGGGAACAATCCTTCTAGAGGAGTCAAGATCGGATACGACCTCCTCGACCTGGCAAAGAGGTAACTTAAAGCTTGATTAAGGGAGAATGCCGACCTTTTCTCCTGGAGCGCAGCTGAAATGCCTGGATTGGACCCAGAGATTGCCACCATCTGGCCATAGATCCTGCTCTTAAGACAGTTACTCAATGTAGGCGGAAATAGTATCCCGAGAAGACGGAGGCTGCCGAGCAGTCTATCAAAGACCTCCTAGAGGCACATATTATTTCTGAAGTCCAGTACATAACCTGGCTCTCAAATGTAGTCCTCGTGAAAAAATCTAATGGAAAGTGGTGTATGTGCATTGATTATACCAATCTCAATCGGGCTTTCCCGAATGACGCTTACCCCCACCTGAATATCGACAAATTAGTCAACAACTTGGTGGTTTAAAATTATTATCTTTCATGGACGCATATTTTGGATACACCCAGATTCCTATAGAGAAAGCCGATAAGAAATATACCGCTTTTATGACCGAATCGAGCAACTATTACTACAACGTAAATGCCTTTCGGCCTAAAAATACGGGCGCTACATATCAGCGTATGATGAACAAAGTTTTCTGCAACGAGATAGGCAACATGATCTAAGTCTACATAGATGACATGATCATCAAATCGACAGAAGAGGTTGACCATGCCATCCACCTTAAGAAAGTCTTCGAGCAGGCCAGGAAATGTTGGATGCACTTTAACCTAAAAAAATGCACCTTTAGCATAGGGGCAAGCAAGTTCCTCGGGTTCTACCACATGGAACGAGGAATCGAAGCTAACCCCGACAAATGCTGAGCATTTTCTGAGTTTCCAACGCCCACTTCAAAAAATTCATTCAAATCCTGAACGAAATGCTCACTTCATTCTCCCGCTTCGTAGTGGAATCCACCCAACACGCGCTCCTCATCTTCAAACTTCTCCGCAAAGAAGATGCCTTCAAATGGACAGACGAATGCGAGCAAGGCCTCACCCACCTGAAGCAAGTGTTTCCGCAACCGCCTGTCCTTTCTCGACCAGAGAAGGATGAGATCCTCTATCTCTATTTGGCCATAACCTCTGAAGCAATAAGTGTTGCACTGATCCGAGAAACCCCAGAGGGGCAGAAACCTATCTACTTTATGAGAAAAGTCTTGAAGTAAGATACCAACAAATAAAAAACATAGCCCTAGCCCTCATCAACGCGGTGAGAAGGCTCAGACACTAGTTCTTGGCACATACCATAGTCGCTCGAATAGATCAACCAATAAAGCAACTACTCTGTAGGCCTGACATGGCGGGCAGGATGCTAAAATGATCTTTGGAACTCTTCGACTTAGACACCTAATACGAAGGCAGGAAAGCCCTCAAAGCTCAGGCGCTGGATGAATGATGTCGCCCTACAGGAAGAACTAGATCTGGTCGAAGAAATTTGAATAGGAGCGGCCCTACGAGAGGCCTCACTCAAATAAAAAATATCCATGCACTACGACACCAAAGTCGTACGACGAGAGTTCGAGGTCGACATCCTTGTCTTAAAGAGAAATCGCAAAGAATCTCACAGCAAACTGGGAAGGTCCATATTGCTTCTATGAAAAAACAGGGAACGAGGCATACTACTTAGAAAATCTACAAGGAGAATAACTTGCTCGACCATGGAACACTGAAAAGCTAAAAAAATATTACAATTAAAATATTGAGCAGTCGGCGAGTGTCATCGACAAAACAAACACAACCATGCCCGACCACACGTGCATGCCTAGGTACAAGCATGGCACTCCAATTTAAATGTGGGGACAAGACTCTACTCTTTTGATGAGCGGATCCTTAGTCCGACATGGATAACTCGATCGAGCTCCATCGTCATCGTAACACGCCAGCGGAACGCCCAACTTGCAATGGGTAGTTCACGCTGCCGAGCTCAGGTCCTCGAAACGAGACATGAGTTACGGCCCATGCCCAGTATTCACCCTGGTCGTTCGACCAATTTCCCCATGCTAGAGAACACACTAACTAACGAGCAAATCTCCACTAAAAACTCTTAGACAATAAAATCATCTTAAGCAGATGAGCATACGATGAACAAGTAAAAACAGTAAAAAAATATAAAAGTGGCATGATCACGCACAACAAACGACCATCGCAGTCGGAATTTTAACATACGACCATTAAGGCCGTTATTGTACAAACTTTACAAAAAAGGAGGCGCATGGCCCTCCATCCAACAAAATAACTTTGTGGCCACAAGGACCACAACTGTTCGAAACTTAAAAGAAAATGGGTTAGGACCTGAAGAATGAAGATACGTCAATACGGCATGCAGGCCGAAAAAAGAAATAACTAAAATCAATCAAGTATCTGGTTGGGGATCCTCCTTGGTAATGGGCTTTTGACGCGACAACTCTCCAACGGGAACATCCCTAACACCTCTGAGATACTCAGGGATAATGATTTGGCCATCTGCCATGTAATAATGAGACCCATCCCAGTCACGTTCAATTAGA